CTGTGTGTGTCTGACTGTGTGTCTCTGTGTGTGTCTGACTGTGTGTCTCTGTGTGTGTCTGACTGTGTGTCTCTGTGTGTGTCTGACTGTGTGTCTCTGACTGTGTGTCTCTGTGTGTGTCTGACTGTGTGTCTCTGTGTGTGTGTGTGTCTGACTGTGTGTCTCTGTGTGTGTACCCCATGCTGTCTGGGAGAGGCTCCAGGGCCTCACACAACCCAGCCCAGGATAAGTGATTGGAAGCTGGATGGATGCCTTTAACTGCCCTTATGGAAGAAGATGGCTGGCGTACGTTTGGAGGTGATGGCACGTAGTACCAGAAGCCTCTTCCTCCAGGGGACCCTTCTAGGTTGGAGACAAAGTTGCTCTGCTGTGAGAGGGTGTTCCTCAAAGCACTGATCTCAGCCATCAGCTCATCCAGGTTGCCACTGGTATCTACAATGAAGATCTCATAAGACAGATGTGGTATTCCCCCTCTCATAATTACAAATTCCCGCAGCTGAATTCATATCAAATTATTACAAACAAAAGCAAAGAAAGTATATTTAAAGACCAATCTAGATCATTTAGTGATCACAGATGCTGCTCTGAGCCCTTAATACAGCAGTTGCAGCTACGGGGCCACAGGCAGGTCTGCTGGGGACGACGGCCCAAAGCTCACCCTGCTGGACCTGCGCCAGCTGCTCCCGTAGCCGCTTGGTCTGCGAGTGCTGCCTGCTCAAGGTCCGATGCAAGCGATCCAGCTCGCGCTGCTGTCCCTGCTTACTGTGGTCCACTTCATGTACCTGTAGCACGGACATGTACACCTGAAAGCTTCTGGTCACACACTCTGCTGTGGGGTACGTGTGCAAACTGAACTTCTCTAGTGAAAATCTCCAACAGTATAAACAAATTAAACTCTAGTTATACAACCATAAATATACACAAACGACAAGCCTTTACAAGCGGGGAGTAGGTGTGCAAACTGTTTTGCATCATACACTGGATTAGGCTCAGACAACACTGTGCTGAAACGCCAACAGATGAGGGTGGGGGGGGGTCTCACCTGCGGTTCCCTGTCCCTCAACAGCGCCTGCAGCAGCTGGATCTCAGCCTCCGATCTGGCGAGGTCTCGAGTCGCAGCTGCAATCCGTCTCCGGGATTGTGTCAGCTCCTCTGCGTCCTGTGAGGCGTGCAGGCCTCGAATCACTACTCAGCCAATCAGCATGAAGTATCCGAACCCATAATCAGGGAGCGAATGGCTTCATTCTCTACTAAACACACGCATAAGCATGCAGCCCATCATCAATATATTAAGAGCTTATTGTGAGGCTCAAAGTATCAGAGTAAAATGCTAAGAGGCTTGGAGTCCCACCGGGAAAGTCAAGGGGCAACCACATGATATTGTACTTTCACGCAATAACATTAATACATATGGTGCTGTGACCAATCAGAAATCAGGTGCCCACTGCACATGTGAGACAGGAGTTCACAAAGTGACTAGCGAGATGCGAAGAGGGTTAAGACTCAAGGCTGAGGAACCATGCATCAGCATCCCTTTAGAGAAAAGGACTGCAACGTCCACTAGGACACTTTCTTTATCGGACTGTGATGTCCACTCACACACATCTGGAATCTGAGTCCAATAAGCACTCTAACCTGCAGCCTACGTTTAAGGAATAATTCATCATCACATGCTGTAGGTTAAGCACAAAGTAAATTTCAGGTCTGATCACTATAAATCCCCAAATCATAACTGATTAGTCTGAGATCACTGACAAAAAAGTTTAAGTTTCCACAAACTATTGGTATCTATTTACATTTGTATGTCGCAGATGCACTTAATAGGTTCCTATTGCTCATATTAATTGAAGGATCTACAGCAAACAATCTAACAGAACAGAGTAAGTGCTTGCCAGTGGTCCTGGTACGCTCTCCCTTTGCAGTGTAGCCCACAGTGCTGTCCCCATACAGACCTCGGCCCGCTCCTGGCCGATCTTGCGCACAGTGTCCTGGAGGGAGCGCAGCTGCTCTGTGGCTGCATTCAGCTGCTGGGCGGCCATCTTGTCCGCAGCTGCCCTGGACCTCTTCATCCCCAGCAGTTCCTGTTCCAGACACTGGAGCTGCTGCTGGTTGCGAGAGTCCTCCAATTTTACCTGGCAACATGTTACAGCACAAACAACTCATCCATATTGGCTGCATTTGGTTCATGGGATTTCATTTGGTTTTGACTGAATTTTTGTTTCAACTAGCAGGAAAAAAACATCAATGTCATATTTTTTCTGCAGTTAACATGTTTCTGATACAGATGGCTCCAGTTCTTCTTGCTACGATCCCCTTCTGACCTGGTCATCTTGGTCATCAAGCTCAGCCAGCAGATGGTCTCTCTCGCTCTCAGCTTCCCGGAGCCGCCGTTCCGCCAGGCCCTGCAGTTCCTGTGATTCTCGTAGCTCCTCCTTTAGCTTCCCGAGTTCTTCGGCCTCGCGTTCATCCCTCTCAGCATCCTGGCCCAGAAAAAGGCACATTCTGTTCATGTTGCTGCATGCCAGTGAATGCAACATCAGCAAGCCCAGCAAAGTACTGAAGAGGTGAAGCCATCTCCGGAGATGACCTGTGATCTGTCCGTGATGCACGTACCTTGGCCTGGAATGCCTGAAGCGCCTCTCTGGTGTTCTGCAGCTGCTCCTTCAGCGAGGTCACCTCCTGAGTGAGCCTGCCCTGTTCGCGGAGGGCCTCTTCCCTGTCTGCTCGTGCGCTGGACACCACGCATTCGACCTCAGCCTGCAGTTGACCCAGGCCGTGACCTAACACATCCTCATCATGGATCGGCCTGTAGAGACGCCATAACGAAGCCTCCTGAAGTTTTCTGGCCAGTAGGTAGGAAGAAACTGGCAGGTTCAGCATGTGATCTGACCTGAACCCACTAGCCCAACCCTAGTGGGACAGCTTCAGTAAGTAGAGCTTCTCAGTGGCCCACAGTGCTACTGGAGTTTGGGAGCACTGAGACCAGTTAGAAATTACTGAAACAGCCAAAAAATGGGGCTGTATCTAGCAATTAATTTCGTATAGATTAATCTAACAAATATTTTTCCCCATGATTAATTGATTTCTATAATAACTTATTTGATGAATAACCTAACAAAATGATTACGACATTTAAAAAATTAACTTTCAAATGCAGTAAGGCCTCCGTATCCATGGATTCAACCAGCAGTGGACTGAAAATATTCAAATAAAATTCCAGAAAGTAACAAAAACTTTGAACTCACAGTGCTGAACACTACACTGAATCCACGCAAACAGAGTGATATGAAGTTTTGGGTGTTGGCGAGTCTTAACCCCGTGGTGTGTGTGTGTGTGTGTGTGTGTGTGTGGAGATGGAGAGAGAATTAATTTGTATTTTCTCCATTTATAATTTTCTATATGTACTACAATGGCTGCCTCTGTACTGAAGATTAAGACTTTTTTTTCTTGTTTTTATTCCTCAAACAATACAGTACAACAATCATTTACACAGCATTTACATTGTACTAGGAATTATTAGTAATCTAGAAATAATTTAAACTATATGGGAAGATTTGTGTAGGTTATATGCAAATAGTACAGTTTTATATCGGACTTGAGCATCTGCGGATTTTGGCATCCGCAGTGGGTCCTGGACCCAATCCCCCGCAGATTTGGAGGGCAGACTATACCAAAATCCCTCAGACTATACCAAAATCCCTCAGACTATACCAAAAAGTAATACAAACATTTGCACTACAGATGCACGATATATCAGTTAACGCATTCGTATGGGTCGGATCTTGGAGAGATCCATCTCGCAGTCCTGCCTATAGCCTCCATGCTGTAACATGAAATGGTGACATTACATTAGGAGACGGGTACCTGTACTCCCCCGACCCGATGGCCCTCCTGAGATTCTCCAGACATTGCATCACTTCCTGTGGGCTGAGCAGCGTGGCCCTGGCCTGCTCCAGCTGTCCCTGCAGGGTCTTCACCTGTCTCCTCAGAGATGCCTTCTCCTCCTTCAGCAATGGAGAGAGGCCCGACCATTATAATACCACCAAGATACACCTGTTCTCTGACACAGACCCACAAACAATATAATTAGACAACTGTAACATGGTAGCAGCAGGTTCTGCATGACTACTGTGGCCTGGGCTTGAACTAGTGTTCATCCAAAGAGTTGCGGGAAACTTTATATGCATCCAAGTTCACAAAGCAAAACAATAACAAAAGTGTACATAAAAATGGGAAAAAAACAGCCCCCCCCTGCGGCCCCCACTATGTCAGTGTTCCCACCTGCAGCGACTGCCACTGCTCCTGGAGCTCCTCGTGCTCCTGGTCGCGGCCGGCGGCCAGCTGACCCTGGGCCAGAGCGTTCTCCTTTGCCTGCCGTTCCTTCTCCAGCTCTGCCTTCAGTGCTGCCTGCTCCATCTGCGGCAGACACCCAAGAAGCCTGCTCACAGTCGGACCACGAGGGGCTACTCTGCTTAGCAGCAGTTAAAAAAAAAACAAGATCCATCACGAAATGAAGCCTTTCCTGAATCCGAACACAGCCAAGTCTCTCTGCCATTTTTTTATACCAAGGGAAACGTGCTAATCAGCAATTTGCAACCCAGCAAGATTTCAGGCTGATTATACCAAATCTGTACTTACTTAGCAGTGGTACTACGATGACAAGTTCCATTGGCTGGATGAGCCACACAAGAACATCTCAGGTGACCATGTGACTGGGAAGTGAGCGGATGAAAGCCCACATGGCTTTCGCCACACACCTGACTGAGCTTGCGCAGTCTGTCTAGCTCCTGCTTCAGCCTCCCAACTTCTGCGTTATGTTCCTGCAGCTGGGCCTCCAGCTTTCCTTCAAAGGCGCACATCTGATCCTGGGCCTCAAGGAGCTCAGCATTCTCCCTCTGGAGCCCGCTCACCTCCTGCTGCAAGTGCTCCACCTCCTACGACAGCCATGTTGGAGAACGAGCTAAATCCTGCGGCATATACATCTTCATCATCAGAGCTAAACCAGTCACATGTCACCATGACTGTACTATTAGATTTTGGCATCCATAACCAATCTAAATGTAGCCCCCGTCATTCTGACTGACCTCCGTGGCACTTTTGGCATCAATTAGAACGACCTCCAGCTGGTTGCGCTGCTCCTCACTGTCCTGCAGGCGGCGCTGCAATTCTTCTCTCTCATTTTGCAGCTGCTGGGATTCTGTCTGGGCACGCTGGGCCTCAGCTTTCACCCCATGCAGATACTCTTGAAGCCCATCAATGACTCCTTCCAAGTCTCGCTTCAGAGCCTCGTTTGATGCAATTTGACCTTAAATGAGCATTCAGATTACAAGAATAAAAAAAAATTAGGATTACACTGCTCATTTGTTTTGGGAAAGTTTTCCAGAACTAAAAAAATAGAGGAAATAAACAAGAATAAAAAAGATAAATACCACTTTTAAAAGAAAAACTAAAAACTTGATTCTTGATAATGAACACAAATGTGAGGAGTGGAAATGAACAAGAAGGTTTTTGATGACAACAGCCAAGAGTGTCCAATTAGCCAAGGTCCCTCTCACCATCTGTTAGCTGCTGCTCTAGATCTTTGATCTCGTCCGCCTCCTGGTCAATCCGACAAAGCACATCTTCCAGCCTGGCTTCCAGCTCAAGGTACCTCTTGCTCATAATGTCCAGCAGTTGGTTCTTACTGGAAATCTGAGTCTTCACATGAGCCTGGGGTTGGTGATGTGGGGGAGGAGACGCTCAGTCGCATGAAAATCACCCTTACAAAAGTCTCAGATTTCAGACTAGCCTGCTTATCTGGGCATCACAATAATGGTCAAGTATTCCTTCAGAAATCTGCAGCTGTTCAACCGGGGTATTTAATATAGAACTTGCTGTTACTTGTATTGGCCATTTCCATTGCATTTGTAAATGTGCAAAACGTGTGAAAATGAAAAAAAGAAATGTCTTAGACCTGTAATTCATGTATTTCACATACATTAATGTAAAACAAGCGCACACACACATATATACTGACGCTTCTCTACTTACGAATGAGATACGTTCCGACTGGCCGTTCGTAACGTGAAATGTTCGTTAGTCGTTATTCAACATCATTTTAAGGGTATATGCAAGTACACAGAACTAGGAAACTGGGAGTACGCACGCTAAGCTGCTGCGCGGCAGGAGTAGCGGCCAGAAGTCATACTAGGCGGAATTGGTGTGCAGATAAAAAAAATATTGACGTAGCGGATGGGAAACAGGAGCCCAATTAACACAATTTGGACTTACAGTCCTCTTCATTCATATGTCTGAAAGTTCGTAAGTAGAGGAGCGTCTGTGTGTATATTATATATATATACATATATATAAATAAATGTGCTCACAAAGAGCGGAAATCTGTTACATTTAACACATTTATTTACATTTAAAAGCAAAAAATAGGGCTGTGGTAATCTGTAAACAACCCAAGAAAGCACATGGTCTCAGGTTGGCCACACCCTGGACAGTACATCAGTCAGTGGCAGGATGCTCACGCATACACAGTCACTCACAGGAGCACTCTGTATGTAAGATCCTATTCATGCACCTTAAAAATGCCTCACATACAGTATGTTGTGGAGTACATTTGCAAGGCCTGCTGCCATCACAGTTCATCATATCAGTCTCATAGGATGCATATACCATCAAATTTAAAAGTGGGTACTTTCCCTGTATGTGATGTTAAAAACTTTCCTGCTGAGCAGTAAGACTGCGACATTTATCAGATCAAGTGATGTTTCTGGCAAGCATTTAATTATTACCATACAACCCTGACCACGATAAGCAGTTAGAAGATGGATGAATTTAATTATAACATTTGCATATCTGATAGTTGTCACAGGGTACATAAATTATTTTGCTGTGGATTAATTTTGCCAGAGATTTTAAGATTGAACTTTTTAGAGTAAATATTATTCCTCTCTAGACAAAAGATTTTAGTTCCATTTCTCTGATCTCTGCACACTGATTTACTGTAGCTTTCCACTTTAGCACGACAAGGCAAACATAATTCACCTTAGCAACGAACCACAAAGGTCTGAGATAATGCAAAGCTGCAAATAACAGGATAAATTTACAAAAAGTACTTTTTTTAACTACACAGGTAACACATTAGTTCTTTACCATAAAAAGCAATAATGTAGTGAAATGATAGCACATTATGTCTTAACACTTAAACCTCAAAAAGTTCACTTTGGTCTGCAATTTAAAAAGAAATAAGGAAATATCACAAGCTACGGACTGATGGCTAGTATTGAGAAAATTGGGTAGTGAACTTGGGCTATGACTTATTTGTGCAGAAAACTGCTGATGTGCAAATGCACACAGTGAAGATTAATCATTCAGAATGACATTCAGAAGTAGGATGACAGGCAGTATGTGGGATTTCCTGCTACATCCCAATGAGTTCACACCCCTTCCTTCCAAGAACTTCCTCCCAGCCATTTTAAATCAGGGACACTTAAAACAAAGCTGCAAACTAAATAAAGCCAAATACTATGCTTTTGTTTATATATGACCTCTGATCTTGTGATTTGCACCAACCATCTAAAGCCTATTCCAGAGACTCTAGGTCATAAATTGGGACATGGAGGAGCAGTTCACTGGAGATAATGACAACTCAATAAATCTATTCATATTCTGCTCCAGCACTAACATGTCTCTTTGGTTGTGATAGCCCCATAAAAGGTCATTTTTAAACCAACTTTTACTTATGGTGAAAACAGGCCATGTGACCTTTAAATTTAGGGCTGTAATTTCAGCAGAAAAAAAAAGTAGAAACATGTCATCGCACAACAAATGTAACAAGCAACGTATAAAGTGAACAGTAATTATGTGAATACATTAGAAACATCCACATACTGTGGATGCAGAAAACGTCAGGCAGAAGTCCTTCAGTAGTAGTACTTTCCTCTACTTTTAAAAAGTAATCTGTAACTTTAACGTATAAATACTACTGCTTTACAAAGACTAAAAAGAAAACATTTACACGTAAACATATTAAACCAGAAAGTTCCGATCTTCAAACCTTTATTTCAAATAGATGATCTTCACTCCAAAGACTACGATATATAACATCTCACCCCCCCACCCCCCATTCTGGACTGGTACTCACTAAATCAGTGCTGTTACTCTCTCATTTTCTTATCAGTACTTATCCACAGTTTGCCTCCAACATCAGCTGCTGCCACCTCCGCAAAAAGCCTCAGAGCTGAAAAGAGGGAGTTTTCTGCAGCAGACCTGCTTCCCCTCTTCATTTCCTTCTCCCTCACTCACATAAGCACATCACATGCTACAACTACAGCTCCAGAGCTCTCCTCTGCCTCAAACTTCACTCTCCCTCTTCACTTTTTCTGTTCACCATCTCCCTCCCTCCAGTCCCGCACCCTTTGAAAAAACACAGGAAGCTCTCCCCTCGGCCAATCAGCATGCCGCCCTTGGGTGAGACAATGGCCCTGGTATGTGTGAGGGAGGCAGATCTGTGACTCCGCCTGTTAGACTTCCTTTCAGGAGCAGACATCTTTCTTAAAGGCACAGCTGCACACTGCTCACTTGTTGCTCAAGGTTATTTACACCCTCAGTGATCCCTAAGATACAGACTAGCGCACTCCCATGAGGTGCTACTGATGTTTACTGGCACTATAGCAACATCCTGGGTGGCATGGATTAGTTAGGGGAAGAAATATCATCTGTTGGGTTAAAAAAAACAAGTCGGGCAATTCATATATGAGCATACAAGAAGTAGAAAAAGGCAAGCTGATGTCAGGTGATCAGCACACTCATTCACTTAACCTGTAAATGGTTAACGGTCATATAAGAAATGCCTGTTTACTTCTCTCAGTGCCCAGCAAAAGCACACAGACTCCAACTGCTGCACCCAGTTCTGGCCCTTTGAGACTATGCCTGCTTTCATTTCTGCAGCATTTCCCCAGTGCTGACACTGAAATGGGTGTCCTTTCACTGAAATGGGTGTCCTTTCACTGAAACGGGTGTCCTCTGCTTTCATTCCTTCCTCCCAAGCTCGTGCTGAATGCCCCCTTTGCCATCCCGCCTGCAGCAAGTCTCAGTGACATTGTAATTCAAAGCAACTAGAGCTGTGGTACTTTTCCTGGCCCCAGCAGACCCCAGTCTCTGCCGGCCCAGAACCCGGCAGAACTCTTAATAAATGATACTTCCCTGACCTGATGACTGAAAAGAGACTTCTGCTCCTTAAAATGAATAACACTATTCAGTATTTCAACTAAAGGATGATAATGATGGTTTTAATTGTTTAGTCTTTGTACAATTGCATAATTAAAGTATGTATTACAGTCACAATTAATCATAAATGTAAAAGACAAAAACTGTTTGACAGTTTAATACAAACTAAACAAAAGTTTAAAAAATATATATATATTTATACACACAGACACGTTTGTATTGATATCTTTGTGGGGACCCTCCATTCATTTCTGTGGATATAACTCTAATCCAAACAAAGACACCCTTAACCCGACCCGGCCCTAACCTTACCCATAAGTAACCAAGCAGAATACAAGACCAGTAACAGAATACAAGACTTCTGGAATTGTTAGTTTTTGATTGCAATCACAGATTTTTATAAGGTGGTCCCCCAACCAGTCTTTATTACATTGTGGGGACATTTGGCCCTCACAGTGTAACACATACACACACACACACACACACACACACATAATCATGCTTAATTTATTACATTATTCAGTCTTGGTAGAAAACGATCGATATGGGGGGCAGTTTTAATTAGGATTTAATAAAAACATGTTGAGGACTGTCTAAAGCACGGGGTCACAAACTTACACTAAACCCTAGTGGCGTACCACCCACCATGGAGGGCCAGGAGAGCCAAAATGTAATATATAAATATATCAGTAATGGATTAATTAAATGTGTCACATATGATTCAAAATGGGAAATAAAAACGTCATTGATGAAATTGTCATGAATTATTTAAAATGTGAAATAAAATTATTATTTATTAATTTAATGTGATATACAATTATTTCACTGTTTAATTTTGGCACTTTTGGCGCATCTTGAATTAATTTCATCTGTCAGTCTGACCCATCACAGTGTAACACATACACACACATCAAACTCAGTCAGCGGGACTATCGTCGTTCGGCTCAAGCCGATTGGCAGAACCAGCATGTTTCTAAAGACACAGCCAACCGCCTTGCATAGATTGCCGTTAGTCCCGCCCACTCATTTTCATGGCTCAGACTGACAGATTAAATTAATTCATGATTAATTCACTCTTCAGTGCCAAATATAAATAAAAAGTGAAATACTTACATCTCTCTATGTACATGTATATAATAGAGATGACAAAGTTTACTTTGGTTTTGAAATTAATAATGTTTTTATTTCACATTTTAAATAATTCATGACATTTCATTAATTGTATTATTTCCAATTTTAAATCAATCATAACACATTTAATTAATTACTGATGCATTAATTTATTTTGGCACACCTGGCCCTCCATATAAGAGTAGTTAAACAACAGAAATATAGTTTTTAAACTGCGTCTGACACATAGCCTAGAAGGCTGAACTGAAAGCCAAATCATAAGTCCTTCAGCAATAATCACTGGTTAGTCACTGTCTGATATCGCTGATTACCAATATCACCCAACCCTATTAACAAGTCAATTATGAGAATGAACCATAACAAAAATCCAGCATAAACAGGAGAGTGTCCCTAAGGTCAAAGGGCAGAACACCTACTGAAATTAAGACTGATATTTATAAATATTAGGAGGAGATGAGGGGTCAGACTGATCCCAGCGTGTGGCTTTAGAGTGAGATCCGATTCACTGAATCAGACGGATGGTCATTTGAGTTTATTCTCCCATCCGGAAGCATTTTTAAAGGTAACTGCATGGACAGAGGGGGGGGAACACGTGCTACATACGTGCTGCGGGTCGCTGGGGTCTAAGGTTTCCAGAAGGTTATGCAGGGAGTCCAGCTGGGCCTGTGCCCGGCACATCTCGGCCCGGTGGTGCTCCAGCTGGCCCTCCAAGGCGTGGGCCTCGCTCCTCAGCTGCTCCTGCAGAGGCAGCTTCCTGCTGAGCTGCTGCCTCAGCTGCTCCGCCTCAGCCTCAGCAATCTGCACAGGCCACAAGAGCTATCTGACGTCTGACCTCTTCCAAAGCATCCACACTCACTTTCAGTGGTCAGAAGAATGTCCCTGAAATGTCAGCCAGTCCTTCAGCGTTTCCTGCACTCACAGGATTTACCATCAATTGAACCAGCGTGGTCTGAGTAAAGGCCTCCCCCCCCCCCCAGATGCTCACTCGTCTTTGAGACACGGAATCTTCCAGTTTCCGCAATTCAGAGCTGGCCCTCAGCATCTGCCGCTCTGCGTTTTCGATCTCTGCATGCAGCTGTCGCAGTCGCTCTTCGGCTGTGGGGACAGAAAAGGAGAGCAATACTCAACTAGCGACCAAAACTCTAATACCTCAAAAAACCCATATTCTCCTTTTCAGCCAGAAGACTAAGTTAACCACGTTTGGTCCATGACATCAGACATTAACCCTAATCTCTAGAGGGGGGGCAGCATGCCTGTAAGACTGTGTGCCTGTAATCAGAAGGTCACCAGTTCGAACCCAGCCTCAGCACGTCTGCAGGTCCTTGAGCAAGACCCTTAACCCCCAGCTCCCTGGGCGCCCCAACAGGTGGCTGCCCTTCGCGGTCAGCTTGCTGAGGTAGTTGAGGGAGGTAGTTGAGGGAGGCGTAAAGACAATTTCCCCACAGGGATCACAATAAAGTATCAATAATTATTATTAGTAGTACCTTGCGCTTGTGCAAAGCTGTAAACCTGAGGGCCTGGTTTGTTTGCCCCTGAATCGACATCACAGGTTGAGTCACGGTGCTGCTTCAGATCCTCAGAAATAAAGATGTTCCTCTTGTGTCGCGCTTTTCCAATGTAAGGACTCTCCCCAGGTGCCTGCTCTTCCTCCGGCTCCTGTCCCAAAAGCAGAAGAGATGAAGACTGTAACACAGAAAACAGCATCCATGTTCTTCCAGTCATTCTGCTAATAATTCTGTAAATGACAGAGTTCAGAATAAGACTGTGGCCTGAGTTGAAAAGCCAAGAATGTCACCCTGATTGTAGTTCCAAGTTGAATTTATAAGCACAAAAAAAGGGAATCATTGAGAAGCCCAGAGCTTATTCATCCAAACGGATCACACCTGGTCGGGATAATAAGGCAAGGGCTCAAACTTGGCATCTATTTTCTGGAACGCCAACTCCTGTTCCAGCTGATACTGCTTCTGACAAGCTCGCGTCAGCTCCGTCGTCTTCCGCTTTAGCTGCACGATGAAGAAATCACTGAGACATCCTCATATAGCCTGACATCAGCACATCACAAACACATCACAAGCAAGGAGTTATCACACGCTCTTACCAATGATCACCCACTGGCATTAAAAAGCCACTGGGCTTTACACAAATGCATACTGTTTATAATACTCTTAAAATTAATCATCAACAGAGTATGAACAAGAAAAACATGCCCAGACCGCAAAACATGCTTGCAAACGTGGGCATCGTACCACTATGACAACTAAGTGACGAGAAAAATGGGAGGAGATGAAAAAGATGCACAGACAAACACAAGGACACGGTTATAGTTAAAGGCAGATTTATGAGGTGGGGGGGGGCTCATCTGGCTTCAGAATACCTGACAGACAACGTCCAGCAGAGAAGCAGGCAGCGGAGGCAGAAACTGAGGCAGAAGTGGAAAGGAAAGAAAGAAAATGCAGCCAAAAATTCATGCGATTGTCATGCAACTGAAATGCAAAAAAAACAGCTTTAAACGCAAAAACAACTGATGACAACCTGTTTAAATCTGTATTTGAAAAACCAGAAGAAATAACTTGCAGTTTAGTACCCTTTGTGATTCTACCACATTCATAACCTTCCTCCTTTTGCTTAGGAGCCTACAGACAAAAAATGTGAAAATGCACAGATCAGTTAGGATGCACCACCTACAATCTCTGTATAACCCATTAACTCACAAGATTAAATTATTAAATATGGAAACAGGTGAAGATAAAAGCAATTATAGAAATGCTTCTTACATATTGCTATTTTTAAAATAGATGACTTAAAAATGAAGCTAAAACTGAAGTAGCAGAGTTAATATCAATTTTTAAAAAGAACACGGTAAACACGGCTCCCGTACATAGCCGCATGGCAGTAGCTAAGCAGAGAGAAATGTAATTGATTTCAAACTACCTTAGGGATGCCGCTCTCCTCATGAATCTAAAAGTTACAGTGTTTCCTCATTAGCAGCCAGTGGCAAACCTGATCATTCTGGGAGTGCAGCAAGAAACATTTTTGTCCAATTAACCTGTTTTTTTTCTAAAAACAAAGATCAATGAAGAAACGCCCACACAGAGCCTTTCATAAGGCATGCTAACACACCAATATACACCTTACCATGAAAACAGAAAAACAGGAAAAGAATTCTGAAAGAATGTCCGAAGAGATGTTGAGAAAATTGCATGTGTAATGATCAGTGCACATTGATGCCAATATCAAGAGTAAACTGCACTACCTGAGTAAGTGTAGACAAAATAGATGTATAGGGAGATATTAGTAACCAGGACACAAGCTACAGGAAAGGGTGGATGGAAGATAAAGAGGTGGGGGAAAAAAAGAGTAGAAATCATATGTTAATTCACCTACTGCCTTTTTCTTAACCCTTGCTAATTGTCACCTATAACAGTGAAAGGTAAATATGTAAATTACTCCGCAACATAGGTACTTAAATAATGAAAAACTTTTGTCAGCTTATTATATTTATTACTGTATTTTGGCTTATAAGTGACTTTTAAAATTAAAATAAACGTGCATCTTTCATGCTCTGTCTGGGCTGCCTTCCTCTAACGCCTGCTCCTGTGTGGCTGCGCAGACTGCAGACTGCATGCCCACCAGCTCGTTCTTGGTGTTCAGCTCCCTCTCCAGCTGGTTCTGGCTGCGCAGCTGTTGCTGGCTCTGGAGCTGAAGGCTCCGACTGAGCGCCTCCTGCCTCTTCAGCTCCTCTGCTGTGGCCCCCTGCGCAGCCCTCAGCTTCTCCATCTCCGCCAGCTGACATCCCAGCTCCTGCTCCAGCCGCTCCATCTCCTCTGGAATGATCACGTGTGTGTTAGAGAGAAAATGTCACTCAGTGTATCCACACGCAGATGTTATATAGTCTTACTTGATCGCAATAACTCATCCGAGCCTTTAAAACATAACCTTCACTGACAGACTACAAAAATCTTGGATACAACACCAGTGGGCACAATAATGAGGATAAATTCTCATGACTGTCCAACTTTTCTGTTCAGAAGTTTGTTCTGAACAGAAAAGCATCCAGCTTCTCAGAGCAGTGCAGCAGATATCTGTGTAGCTATAGTATGTCTATGCTTGTATGCTAAATTTAACTAAGGTGGCTGTCTATTTTATTACTGCAACAACTATACCTACTGCATCAGATGCGAATTTAATGCTGCATCAATCTTAGACAGATCTTACCCATAATTACCAACCAATAAACCAGGGGAGATAAATGCTCTCAACTATTCTTAAGAAGACAAGAAACTTATTTCATAAAGCTATACCCGTATGAAAGCGCTGTGTAGCCATCTCCCTTTCCTGCGGGCTGACAGACATCTCATCCAGCTTCTCCAGCGTCCTCAGGTGAAAGACCAGGAAAAGTCGACAATGGGGCAAGTTGGACACAGGGTTCTCCGCCACTACTAATTCTGTCAGGTTCTTCAGTGACTTCAGCTTGGCCACCTCATGCAACTGCACAAAGAACGTGAACCATTATGCATTTCCATCAAAAAGCCCCACAGACAGACTGTGCCAATTAAAACTCAGAGGAAATTTATAAAGTGCCAAACCAAGTGACAGAAAATAAATTTAGTCAGAAACATTAGAATGTTCCATTGATATACACATAAAACAAACACCGTACTGAAGAAATGTTGTTGTGCTGAAGGTTAAGGGACTGGAGAGATCGCAGTTTTTTGGCCAGCCAGAGAGGAATATGCTCTATGTTGTTGTTCGCAAGATTAAGGACTTGAAGGTTCCCCATGTGCTCTAAACCTTCGATTTTTCTGCAGAGACAAAAAAGATATACTGCATCATAAATGTATTTTCCTGAACACAAAAAATTGGGCAAGGACTTGGACTAGTAATTAGAAACTACATGATTATATAATTAGGAAGTACAGAAATTATTTGATATAACCACATAGTAATTGTGAATACACAGTGAACAAGAGAAACTACTGTCTCAATAAGGAGGTACTACTGCAAACAGAGTAAACAGCTGGAGAACCTGGCTACATATGGGCGTGGAAAAAATTGAGACCACTCTATATTTTTAAACAAATCTGCATTTTTAAATTGTGGTTCTGCTGGCAGAGGCTGTGCTGAGCAGCAGGATTATTTCAGGTTTAAAATTTCTAAGACAGCAGGACACAAATATAAGGTGAAGCAGGAGACACTGGGAAGGACCAGAAACCAGCCAGGTAAAGGGCGGAAGCGACATTCTAATGCCAGAGATGACCGTTAACTTATCCGACAGTTTCTCATGAATCGAAGGATGACATCAAGTGACCTTGAAAAGGAACGGGGAACATTAAGTACAGGTGTGAAGTGCACTGCTAGGATAGTTTGTATCAGGCTCCTAGAAGCAGGACTGAAGACCATAAAGCAAAGAAGAAGCCCTTCATTAATGAGAAACAGGGAAGAACCAGGCTGCAGTTTGCAGAAAAAAATATATTATTCACAGACGCACAGCCATAAATAGAGAAATCAGTGAAACAAAAAATTATGCTATGGTCTAATTTTTTTTCCACAGCTGTATTTCATCACTTGATCAGACTAGATAGACTACTAAATCTCACCCATTCCATATTCCCACCCATTCCATATTCCCAGCCATTCCATATTCCCAGCCATTCCATATTTCTGTAATATTTCACCTCTAGCATATCCATTTCAACTAATTACGAATGATTACAAAGATTTGATCAGCTTGCCAACTGGTATAAAATACATGGAATGTCTGGGGATTTCAAAGAGGAGCTTTGGGAATAAATGAGCACTACTTACGTTACAGAAAATAGCTAATACAATGCTCTTACGTCCAAATAAATATTTTAAACGTCATTCATACAGATTTTAGAAAATGATGTACAATTCTTCAACATTACTGAATAACAAAAAGATTATCTATTCTTTGACACAACATATCTTTTTCGGAGAAGTATGGAAATTTTTTTGACACCAAGACAAAATTGCAAAGAGAAAGAATTAATTTGAGCTCATTACCGTATTCGGTTGTGAGAGAGGTGGAGCTCCTGCAGCCAGTGTAGCTTCTCAAGCTTCTCAATCTTCTCAATGAGGTTATGGTTGAGGTTGAGGACCTGCAGATGCTCACATTTATCTAGGTTTTCAATGAACTAAAATAAAGAGCGATACATAGAATCAGAGATATATCCTTGTTGAATGACAAATTTATTATTTAGATCAAACACTTGAATACAGTGACAGTCGCAAGGAACTAAGGCAGAATAGATGCACGACGGCTATAACAATTAATTCCAGATCCCAGGCACGTTCTGGAAAAATCATGAGGAATAAATGACGGTGCCAGAATGCCCATCTGCGTTATGTTTAGACTGACAAGCTTATGCTACCTTGAATTTCTTGCCTCCGGTCTTTGAAAGTGACAGGTTCAGCGTCCGGGCAAAGGCCAGGTTTTCCTGTTTGGTTAACTTTCTTATGATGGAATCCGTAATGTAACGTATTCCGGGACTTTTTCCTTCTCCTGTGCAAAGACACATTCAAAACTGAGCAATAACCCTGTTACTCATTTTAATTTGATATAAAAGAACATTATTCAAGCTCTGAGTGGCAGACAATGGGACCAACGACCTCCATCACCTCTACCATCACTCTCCTCAGGGTTTCTTAACCCAGTATGAGCTGTTGGAGTATATGGCCTGTAGGATGGAGATGGGCTCCATGGTTCAGGCGATGATAATCCAGAGGTCATATTGCCGGACACAGGTGTTGTGACCTGTGCCACTCCTGTCTTCATTCTGAAGCTGCCAAATTAAGAACAGTGCAATATTCAATACTTCTCTATAATGAACACAGAGGTTTCCATATAATGATCATAAAATAAACTTACTCACTGTTACTCACAGCTACTGTTAATTGGCACTGATGTGCAAATATGGCTTGAGTTCATCACTCTGGGACACCTCTTATATGAAGACAGACTATATGTATTCAGCGTCGGGAAAATCAGCAAATCAGAGTCTAAGCTTGTTACCCGCCTTCCTCAAATCTATTCAGTAAAAAAAAAAAGCAGCGTGGCTAAGTTGAAAGATGTAATCTCACTAACTAGCTCATCGACAATACAGCAGCATTTCTACAAGTTTAAAAATACGACTGTCATGACATTTTGGAGTTATTTTGACCACATAACCCAACTACTTAGTTAAGTAAATGTAGCTAGCTGGAGAACTTGAAAACCAGCTAGGAAACAATCCACTCTATAGGTACATCCGTGTGAAAAGCCAACATTAGTTTCACTCGGACTGAACAGTGTATAGCTATTAGCCAGTCAGACACATCCATAAGTCTGGTAGTGGCGTGTTCTCCATTTTAAGCAGATCGCAACATGTCAAACTATAATATTTAGTCAGATAGGCGCTGAAACTAGACACTGTAAACTAGTTGTCCTGCCGAGTTACTTACGAACACTTAGTAGATGCTCAACGACGTGGACCGTCTTTGAAAGTATGGAAATCTGTTATGATTGCTCGTGGGCTGCATTTGTTACCATAGTAACCTCGTTTTCAAACGAGGTAGCTTGCCCCGGGATCACTTTCGCCTACGTAAATAAGACATCAGCTATCCTATCATGGATTGCAAAAGCAGGCATCCTTCTTGTATTTTCAAACTCGCGTAATTCGGTGCGCGAACATCTTAATAAACGTTAAACCGAATACACAGTCACTTCCGACGGCGAGGTGCGCGCGCAACAGGGGGCAGGGCCACGGAGAGCGGCGAATGCACGCGGCTGATCTCGAGCCCTTCATTCAAAAGCTGCCGCTCGCGGATACAAAATTGGCGGGCTATATTCGCAGCTTTGTGATTTTACCATGCAGGAAAGACACGTTAAATCTATTGACTATATCCAAGCTGTTAGTCAAACAACTATGGATCTATGCATTGCAATAAACTACATGCACACAATAAGTGTGTTGTCAAATCGTAGTTGCACTTGTTGAACGGGAAACTCTTAGCACACCGGGCTATTCTCAAGGTGGCTTCTGTTAACCACCTCCCCCCCATAGTTTTCACAACGGCCATCCTCAAAATTATGTACTTGTTGACGTTACATCCATCTTTCTAAATAACTTTTAATTTTGATGAAAACTGCATGTGCTGCTACACGGTTGTGTCGACATTTGTGTTATGGAATATTAAAAAGCTATACAGAATAGACAGATTCAAGTTCGACATCGCCCTCGCAAATTTGTTTCGGTAAGTTTAGAATTTATAGCAAAAATTACAGATGGCACAGTAGCGAGTTTGCGTGAATCGTGCCGCAGCGACATTTAAAGGCATGGCATAGGCAGGTAATTCTGGGAGCCTATCATTGTTTGGAAACGTAGAGATGGAAATCGTGATTATATTCAAAGAAGCGATTCCTTTGCTTTCGTCCACTTCCAATACGTTTCTTTTTATTATTTTAGGTCCGCTTGGACACAGACATATTTTATACTGTATTTAGTTGTGTGTCATACTTCCTGACTCCTTCAGACGGCTGCACATCATTACACCAGTGGGTATAGCAAAAGAGAAGTTATCTAGTTCGTGAACATGCGCTACGGCCAGAAAAGTTAATTTCCAGTTGTTTTCTTTTTTATTGTTATTTCTTAACTTATCTTTACCTCCTCATAATTGGCACAGTGGCACCAGAGAAACGACATTTCATGGTAGCCACGTGGGGCATATATTACACAAAAAGTGTCTGTGCACAAAATGCACTGGAGTAGGAGGGTGTTGTACGAAGCAGGATTTTTCAGCAGGGTTACCTTAAGCTAGAAGTCATGATTGTCCAACAGGAATGCTTCTTACCTAAACTCTCATTGGACAATCATGACTTCTAGCTTAAATTAACCCAGCTAACTGAGAAATCATCCATTCGTTACAGATGAAGCTTACAACCTGGACATGATGGTCTGCACATGATGACTGATTCATACCAGATGAACACAGAACTGACTATGGTAAGTGCAAACAGGATATCCAGATTCAGGAAGGTCTTGGGAAACCATAATTAATATAAATTGATATCAGCATAATCAGGCTGTCTACGGTTGGACCAGAAAAGAATCATTATATGCACCATCTATATTACATTGATGCTTTTGTTCACTTTCTTGAGGTGGGGGCAATATTTCTTTGAGCTGATTATATGTTTGTCCAGCACATCCAAGAGATGCTTGACCGGATTAAGAGTTGGGGAATTTGGAGGTTAGGTAAACACCTTCATGTTCCTCAAACCATTCCTGTATAATTTTTGTAGTGTAGAAGGGCACATTATCCTGCTGAAAGAGACCACAGCTGTGAAGGGGTGTACTTGAAGGGGTGTACTTGGTCTGCAACAATTACACACATGCACCTGGCTCTGCACATAAGGTGACAGAAAACGTGACTCATCTGACCAGGCCACCTTCTTCCATTGCTCCACGGTCTAATTCTGACGCTCACATGCCCATCGTACTGTGGGTGTTTTTGGCGGACAAGTCTTGCCCCGGACACATTTGTCCATGTACGGACAGGTTTAGGATCCCTGTTCCAGTCGCTTTCATTTAAGTGGCATTTCCGTCATTTAAGAACACACTCTGGTACTACAATAATGAACAAGTATTATAGCATTTTTTTTTAAATTGATCTCACTCCATGGGATGTGGTACAGCCAAGAGAAATGGTATTCAAAAACTAGAATTATGTCTATCAATCTGTCTTCCAACCACTCATCCAATAACATGTATATACAGAGACAACTATTTAAAATAATTCTTCATCATTTTATTTGCTCAGGACAAACATATATACTATATATATACACATTCATACATGCCCATTTGTTTTTAATAGTGTGATAAATGCCAAGTAGATCACAGACTCTGCACTCAGGACAGAGGCCCTGTTAGGGATTTTGGGCCCCCAATCGAGACCAATAAAGTTCTGTTTCAAATCCCTTAGGGCTTATGGCCCTTGGAATCTCCCTAACTCGATCACCCCCCCCCCCCCACAGGGCCCCTGACACAGGGTGTTCATTACAAGTCATGGGCAGCCCATGATAAGGAAGGTCTCTGAAAAGTCCTCCAGGGTATTCAGGAAACTGGAGCAGGAGATGTCCTCGCAGTCACTTGAAGGCCACCGCTCTACCCATGCCTGGGAGTCAAGGGGGAACTTGTACCTGTAACAAGTAGTTCTGTTTAACTCCAAGAAAAATGTACACAGATGCATAAGCAAATACATACTAAGTTTTCAGAATAAAACGTAATCTAAAATAAGGATGGCCCACTCCTCCTAGACCAGAGTGGCCAATGTTATCTGCAAATGGTCAGTGTATATGAAGGTTTCTGGGATAACTCTTCAGCCAATCAGTCCTCTAATTAGCGATGCAGCGAAAACCCACATAAACATTGGCCCTTTCTGGATAAGATTTGCCATCCCTGTCCTAGACGAAGGAAGACTGCACAAATGCAGAGAGAACATGCAAACTGCACACACACTCAGCAAGGATGGAATTTGAACCCCTGACCCTGGTGGTGTGAGACTACTGAGCCCCAATCCCATTCCATTATATAAATATAACAAGCACTCACTGATATATCCGCCTGACCACTCTCTCCATTCCCTCGGCCCCCATGATTAGATAATAATTCCCTTCTTGCAGGTTCACATCCGTGCATGTTGCCTTCTTCACAAACGTTACCTCACTGTTTCTCTGCACATGTTCAGTACCTGCCACAGATAATACACACAAACAAAAAAAAGTTTATCTGGCCTACTATTCTTTATACACAGACAAAGGTCGGAATATAACTATTTCCCATGGCTTTTTTTGTACTTATGATGACGTGCAGAGTGTCAACTTACCCTTTTTAAAAATGTCTTCTATTTTGGCAACATAATTCACAAAATCACCTTCTTCCGATGAGGACTCAATTTTCACTTTAAAGGCTTAAGAAAAGCACACAGGAAAAGTATTAGTCCTGCGGTGTTTGCCACATGAGATCACGTAGTGCTGACTGAGGATAATTTTTCTCTATTGTCTTGCCCAGAAACAAACTGAAAATTTCCATAAAATCAAGTTTAGTTTGAATCATTTCACAGCACTGTTTATTAAGAGGTAAAGTGTACTATGAAGTGGAATCTAGACAGTTACCATATTTTATTTTGTCTTCGCAAGCTGCATCTAATCGCATTTGGGCAGTGATGGTGAGATCCATGCTGCCTTTGAAGTTGCTGCATTCAGCTAGGGCCATAAAGGAAGACAAGAGTCATATATATTGCACAGGCAGGAGCCCATAACCTTGACAGTTGCATGCAAAAACAACATAATGCAAGACATTTTTTCTGGCACTTAGCCTGACACAATATCATCAACAGTGTTGGGGAAATTACTCACAAAAGTAATCCATTACACACAGGGGTGGAAAATTCAGGTCCAGAAAGTACAAATCCAGACCAAGGTTTTGTTTCAACCAACCAGTTGATTATGATGAGTCACAGTCACAGAGTTCTCAACTGGTTGGTTGAAACAAAACTTTGGTTTGGTTTTGTACTTTTTGGGCCTGAACTTTCCACCTCCGTCTGGGATGTAACTTCCCCAACACTGATCATCAAGCTGACCTACTAGATTTTTGAGGCCTACCTGCCATGCACTGGCACTCGTCCCCATCACACAGTCTCAGAAATCTACGCTCCACATGTGGGTAGTAAAGCTTGGAACACTGGCTGTCTGTGAGAAATGGGGAAGGGTACTGATGTTCTGCATATGGTGTCAATCCCAATGACAACAAGCAAAAAGTACTGGGACGATACAGGAATGAGCACAGGGAGGTGAGATGCATGAGTACCTGGGTCTCGGTACTCATACACTTTAAATAGGGAGGAGCTTGTCATGCCAGTGCGGAACAGTTCTTGTATCCGAAATCCCACACACAGGAATGCTGCTGAAGGAATCTGCCAAAATGGGAGAAATCAACACAAACACAAGTAGACATACATGCATATAAACAAGCAACTAGGGACAATATACATGGCAGCTTGTGACGTGTCCAGGTCAAGTCACTTGCCTGCGGAAACAGTCACAGAAAGACAACCGGCAGATCTCATACTTACAGAGTCCAGCTGGAGAATGACCTGGTCTCCCTTCATTTCATAATGGGACACTAGAGAATCTAGTGAATTCTGCATCTGTAGCGAACCACAACCGGAAAACACTTCATCAGTGCATGAAGCGCTGAATGCGTCTGATTTGGAGTATACTGCACAGCTTCAAGAAATTACATAAATATTTTCAATGTGTCTATGCAAACACAGATCTTGCAGTGTTAACTTGTTTTTAATTACCATGTAATTTAGTATCTCATGGGGTCCAGCTACAACAAGTAAATTTAGCAACCAACACTAAACTTCTGCTCAATACAGTACTCAACAACAAATCGGCCACTCTGACCCTCAGTTATTCACAATGAATATGGTATTACTTGATATTACCCCACATTTGTACAAATAAAAGGCAGGCTTTTGTCACTGGAAAACAGGATCACCATATTCCAGTAATCTCACAAATCATCAACTGATTAAATTTTTAAAGTACTGTGATTGCTGTTTGTTTAATGAAGTACCGCAGGAAATACAACATAACTCACTTAGCTTGCATTGCTGCAAAGCATGCTAAACGCAAAAAATGAGAACATTGTCAGGCTTATTAAAAATGGTGTGTGCCATAATGTTTTAGGTGCTTGCTAGTTGTAATTTAGGTAAATGCTTGGTAGTTGTAATTTAACAGTAAAATACATAACTTCTGCATAAAGTATTTTTCCACAATAATGAATATTTTTTTTGACTTCCCTTATATTCAGACAAATATGTTAGTTCCAAACACTACGCTTGCAATTGCTACAAATGCGAAATTCAGATTTGGCATTAACCTACTGAAAACTGTATACAGTGGTCAACTTTTATAAAACCCTAGAACTTCAAAATAGTTTATGATTTTATTATGCATGTAAAAATTCAGGACAACCGATTTATTTTAGAGGACATTTTTTTTCTGTTTTCCATGACTGGAAAATGAATTTAAAAGAAAGTTTTTCAGGATGTGTGGGACCCCTGATTTTCTCATTGAAGCCATATGAGATACTCAGACTAATTAGAATGTGGCTTATTCATACCATATCCAGGTCCTCCTGTAGGGGCTGGATACCTGTAGGCAAATGGATCTCCATGATAGTGTGTGCTGACTCCATAAACACTTCATTCTCCAGAGGCTTGTACCTGGACAGCACACATACATATTATACAATACATTATTAATAATATCTCTTATCTGGTTTGCCACAAAATTATTGTAAAATGCAGTTGCTGTATACTGTTCCTGGACTTTATATATACAGCAATATTGTGTACAGATGCACAAATAGCATAAAATGGTTGGACATTCATTGTTAAAATAAACACATAAAGTTGAACTTACTTGGCACAAGCAATAAGGCGGGGTAACAAGAACATAATATCTGGGGGAAATGCGGGACCACTGTTAAGTACTGGGTAAGTTACACCATCGCTAGAAACTCATCTGGTGAAAAACATTCTTTGTGCTGTTCTACCTGTGGAGTCCTGAACAGCGGGCTGAATTTCAATGGTCAGATCAAAGTGACAGTTGTCATTAGACTCTGCCATACTGTAGTATACAGTTTTCAACTGCAATGAAAGACATGTGCAAATCATACGTTAGAGAGTAGGGATCAAAACTTTAAACCATTTTAAAAACACAACATGGCAAGAATGCATAAAAACGTGTATAAATTATATTGAATATGTGTATGCAACTTACATTTGCAACTGATACTCCAGTACTACTTCCCGTGGTTAGGATGACATCATCTGTTTGCTCAACCTGTGAAAACAACTTAGTATTTCATCCTCTGAACTCATGAAGCGATAGGTATTTGATTACACATAAAAAATTAATACAATTGTGTGTACAGATTTGTAAGTGTTTTTGTAAAGGTAACTAATAATACTGAAGATTTAAACAATTAGATTGTGCTGAAAATATTCACAAATTGATTCTGACTTCTTAGAGAACTCAAGGAGAAAAAAGAAACTGGATGTTATGGGTGTATGTGTAAAGAACTGCCATAAGAGTAACCTAACCTGTAATTTTCTGCTGTGATGTTAACCACACAATGAAGACTCATCTCTCCTTCAGTTTATCCCTTACACCCAAAAATATGATAGGGGCCACATGAGGGCAATGAGAGGGAAGGGAGTAGGACGCAGTCTTGCCTGTATTGATCTGCTCACATGGTGATTCTCTGAGAGCCTTAAAATGTCCAAATCTCCCTTATTTCTGTAGCTGGCACGGATCTCCATTTCAAGCTTGGAATGCTGGACTAGTTGGCTGTATTCTTTCAAGGCCTCCAGAGTAAGAATGGTGTCCTAGAATGAGGAGGGTAGAGAGTAAGCACTGGATTATGGACACTCTACTCGGCCACTTGGCTTTGATGCATGATGATTAAGATCGTTGCCATGTAATTATCAGCAGGATCTCAAGTTCATTAGATTAGCGTTTTTTGTGGCAGTCTGCTGGGCACTTCTCAAATATGTTCAGGATTGTATTGCATGATTGGCGATGCTTGGAAACCTGTGTTGAATGTAATCCTCCTCCATAGCGCTGGTCCTGGGTCAGCCACCTGAGAATGGGGGCGGCATATTCTTTATCCCCATAGAGCATTGCAGTGAGCAGGACATAGACCGTGGTCTCCACTGACTGTGTGGAGATCCTATTGGGCGTCGAAGGGTTGAGAGGCTCCTTTTCCTCCTGCCAGAAGCGAATCAGAGGAGGATTTCCTGTGCCACCACAAATTAGACATTTGAATGTTAATTTAGCATTCATCAATGCAAATGGATGCAATCTAACAGTGTTTGATATGCTTTGTGTTTAAGAACTCTCACACATCAGGTGTGACACTCACACTTTCAGACTCTCACGTTCACATAAGAAATCTTACGGCAAATCTATATTATTCCATTATAAACCTAAAACTGGCTACATCAAAAGCATCGGCGTAGTTTGCAAACTCTACAGACTATTTACAAGGTAATAAAACTCTTAGATACATGTAAATGAGCGTGCAGACTTGTCTCAAATTGAAAATCTCACGCCATCCAGCTGACCAAAGTTTGCAACAGTGCAGAAGACGAGTAAGAGGTATGGTGTGTTTAGCTATAATACCCTTAATGGTCATAAATAGTTTGTTCTAAAGGTTTTAGGTTCTTCTGTCTGAAACACGGGTTCTCTGCAGTACCTTTGACTTGGGCATAATTCTGCAGTCTCTCATACAGTTCACGCGCAGGCATGCTGCCCTGGTCCACCAAGGCCAAGGCATAAGCGGTGACCGCTCGCACATACAAACTCTTCAGAGACTGGAAATTGTCAGACAGGTATGTTGCGGCATATCCTAGGGCATTCTTAAATTCCTGAGCACAACAGATGATGAGAATATCAGTGCACCATTCATTTTGGGGAAAAAAGAGGAATCATACAAATAAAACACGAGACGTTTCCAAATGGACCCACCCACTAAAGCACACATACAGACACAGAGGTCAGATAAGTAATTAGACACATGTTGGGCATAAGAGCAGAGCAGCCTGTAGTGTACACCAACAACACATTTGGCAATGAGGCTATCTGAGGACTTATGTGCGTGAGTGTGGGTCCCATGGACCATGGAATGCATGTGAACCGGAGAGACCATGGGGGTTGGAGGTGAGGGGGTGACGTAAAGTCACATCCACTTGTCTGTTTGCTTTTGAAAATCTCAGATGTAACCCTCTGTCTCTTCATGCTCATTCTAAATTCATTTGATTTTAGATATCAAATTGCAACACTTAATGAGTCATCAATATTGTTAGCTTCATCTTGTTGTATTTTTGTTTTAAAAAGAACCCCCCTCCCTCAGCCCAGCTCTCAGTTCATGGTGTGTTCTCTGTGATGGACATCTGGTGCAGGGTGGGGCCCTGCTTTGTGTCCCCTGCTACTTGGAATTAACTCCAAGCCCCCTCATGGCCCTACACCGCAGAAGTGGTGGATATGTTAAATATGTCACAATGGATACATGTGATACTAAGATACTAGATGAAACCATTTTGCATTCCACGTGTAAGCACATTTAAGTGAGACAGGTCATACCATCAAGTTGCATGCTGGGACTGTCATTGCAGTCTTGATACCAATGATGGCAAAGGAGGTGATGAAGGCAGTCTGCTCCTGCACCATTGCTCCTGCACCCTGTGACACCAAAGTCAACCCAAAAGCAAAAAATAAAAAGCCTTTGGATCAGGTTTCCACACTCATTATATAAAGCACACATTTTATTTTATGGAATTCTCATTCTTACTGGAACAGGCTCTTTACAGAGATCATTACCATGAGTTTAACTGGCTTGTAGTCAGAAAGCTCTTTGAAGGAGCCATCCCTATTCTGACAGGTAGACGTCAGCCAAAAGACGGAATTGCAAAATGACTTCTCGTCCACAGCAACGTGTTTGTTCACCTGTCCAAGAGTCTTCAACACTAGAGCAGTCAACCTACAAAAGAGGGTAGATGACAAAGATATCATCCAGTGCCACTGTGAAGACAACCAGATCTATCTTGGTGCTGCCATTTTCCAAGCAGACTAACCATGTACTGGCTTCTCTGTCTTTCCACATGCTGTAGCCATTCTCATTTTTTTTCTTGAAGGACATGAGGCTGGTGACCCCTATACTAGCCATAATATGGGGGGGGGGGGGGGGACAGAGAAAACAGTAACGGAAAACCTGTTAATCAGAGCAACATGTCGCCAAAGCAGCACCCCCGTCCACGTGCTTCCATGACCGATGGTCCTGCGATACACCCACCTTCTCTCAGCTTCTGCTTGAGCTCCATACGGCTTTTGGCTTTGTCATGACCCAGCAGCTCCCACCTGTCTGTCTGCTCCAGGAATTGGAAGACATAATAGACAGGGAGGATGCTCATAATCTCCGCTTCAGCAGAACCACGTGGCAAGCCAGTCAGCTGGTGCAGACCATTCGGATCATTCACAAAGGCCAGCACCTCTCCAAAGAGCTCGCCTACACACAAGTAGTGGGAACAAAACAAATATTGCAGACAGTCAAGGTACAAAACAAGGTACAAAATAATCTCACATAGCTTGGTTACATACGACAGTGCAAAATGCATTGAGTATTTTAGTGTAACTGTATGTATTGTTTTATGAAGATATCTATGCATAACAGTCTCACACCGCTGATGGTAAGAACACGCTCCACGTTGGACTTCGGTACCAGCTTGGCAGGGGCACTGTTCTTGAATTCCAGCCTCTTTCTCAAAGTCCCTGCAACACAGAAGTTTTGGTGAAAATGCAATAGTTGCAGTTCAGCATACTGAACAGGGTGGGAAACTCTGCAGAGGTTTTGCAAAATCAAACAGATACAGGCCATGTACACTAGAAACATCCTGACTGGAATTACTGCATATTAAAATATGCACCGTAGACAGCCTGTGGATCCAGGGTTCCTGCGATGTTCAGTTCGGTCTTGATGCCCTCAGGCTGTAACAGAGACCACATACAAATGCTCAGAACAATATTGGAGTAGAAAAATATACATAATGTTAAAATACCACTTATTAATATTAGGCTGTAAAGGTAATGGAAGTCATCCTTATGTGTTTACCACCACACGGAGGGTCTTGATTACAGTTTCGGAGCCTAGAGGACTCTGTAGAGTAAATTTAAGTGAGTGAGACCCCGCCTCCAGAGCCATGAGAGTGAAGGAAACCCTGCTGACAGAGGTACTCTTCAGGTCTTTCTTGTTGCATGGTGTCCTTTGTGCCCCGTCCTGCCCCACTGGCACACCGTGAACCAGGCAAATCTCCTTGGGTGCTGCGAGTGTCACGCAATACTAGCCAAGGAAGGAGAGGAAAAGAGTGAGAGTCAGAAAAGTTAGTACACACAAAAAAACACGAAGAGCACAAATGAAAATGGGAAGAAAAACAGATTAATGTATTAAAGCAGGGTTTTCCAAGCCGGTCCTTGGGGACCCCAGATGCTCCACATTTCGCTGCCCCCCCCCCCAACTCCCAGCTGTATTACACATATCAGGAACATTCTATGAAGTATCTTTGAACATTTTAAGATGGTTCTTTTATAATGAGACATTGCACAGCACAGCTAACTGTGATCTAAGAGATAAGTCCACTGTTATTTCAGTCCAAGACCAAAACCAATCCTATTGTGGCTAAGGAGGTAACAGCACCACTCACCCATGAATCTTTACTAAGTTGGTTATAGACAGAACCAAGCAGCTCCAAATGCTCCCCACGGACCATAGAATAAGGCAGAGGTACGTCCAGGCTCACTTGCTGGGTCACCTGAACCCTCAGTGGATCTGACACACATATTCCTGCAGGCACAGGATAACAGAGATTTCTGGATTTGCAAAGGGGTTTTTCTAACTTTGTGACAGGTAAGAGAGACAAGCATCCCAGTGTTTGTGCAGGACCTGCTGCTTTTGCGTTCTGCTTACCATCACTGAACATCCCCACAGCTCTCATCTCCCAGGTGGTGAGAGAGTCTGGTAACTTTCTGTTCAAGGTAATCAGCCCTGACCTGAGAAACACATTGCATAGCACTTAAAACTACTGTACCATAACATTCACACCAAGGCAGACCTTACAGTGGAAAAAAGGAATAATGTTAGTTTAACACAAACAGCACTCAGAGCACAGGATATAAAGTAAATGCTTTCACCGAAGTTCTGATACTCTGAATGCCATGAGATGGAGGGGAATCAAATCTTGTGTATTGTGGTATTTCCCCGAGCTCTTGGTCGAATTCACCATATGGGCATCTGGGCTTGAGCCCAAGGCCACCACGTTCCCCGGTGGCACTAAGCAGAGCAACCCTCCATAAGCGCCCCCCCCACCATCCCTTAACACAGGGGTGCCCATCTCCAGTCCTGGGGGGCCAGAGCCCTGCACATTTTTAGGTTTCCCCTCATTTAACACACCTGATTCAACTCCTTGTGCTAATTACCACACAGCTCTTGAGCTGAATCATTTATGGTGGAACAGGGAAAGAACTAAGCTACACAGGGCTCCGGCCCCCCAGGACTAGAGTTGGGCACCCCTGCCTTAACAGATTAGTGTGATTTCATATCTAATTAAATTAATAGATTGTATATTGTTCTTTTAACATGAAAAGCATGTAGCGTTTTCCCTGTATTAGATGCATTTCTGAATTTCGGGGGCCACCAATCAGCTCCGTTTCTTTCTGACGTGACGTCATGTGTGCTGTTGCTTAATACTCTAAATCTGGCCCTAGCTGAGGCACAACGTTCATGTTAAAGAGAAAAGGAGATTTTAGCACACTAATTACTCGTAATTCTAGAGACAAACCTAAGAAGTGGAATTACACATTTAATTACAGATTTAAACTATGTAACATTTATTCTTCTAATAAGCCATAATTGATGTCATAGGACAGAAGTTCTCAAGTAAAATCAGGCCCAAATTACTAAATACAGTATTACACTAAATACAGGTCCTCTTAACTATAATTGTCAACTGCATTTTTCAGGGAATAACTTAGTTAGATGGATCACTTGATAATGGTGACATAAGCGAGTAATTAGACGGCTGTTTGATGTCTGTGCTCTCACCTATCAGTGATGCGATGAGTCTCCCAGAGCCAGCTCTCTGGGAAGTAAGTCCGCACTCGTGAGGTGACCCATCCCAGGTAAACTTCGACCTCTGAAAGCGGAGATCAGGGAAGTCAATAACTCCGCATGCGAGAAAATACGTGTCTCATACATCCGAAACAAACGTCAGACCAGGGCGCTGTCACATTTACATATTCCCCTGCTACTTATTGAAATGCAGACTCATAAACTGTACATAGTATACGCTTCAGACGGCAGTAAGGATGGACATGTTTGCTCACCCATACGTGCAAGAATCTGATCGTTGGCCTGTGTTCTCTGAAGTTTAATGCGAAACTCGCAGCAATCTATGAAGATCTCCTTGCATGTTTGCTCGTTGTACTTGTTTCTGAGCCGATCAGCCCGGGACTTGCAGGTGTCCAGGAAGGGACTGCTTGTCATTCCCAGCATGCAGCATTTCCGCTTTTCTTCTTTATATGACTTAACTGGAAGTAGAGAGAAACTGCAGGTGAACAAATATCTACCCCCATAAGTCCTCTGATGCCCACATCATCATACATGCCCTACTTTGTTCCAGTCCTCTGACGCCCACACCGTCATACATGCCCTACTTTGTTCCAGTCCTCTGACGCCCACACCATCATACATGCCCTACTTTGTTCCAGTCCTCTGACGCCCACACCGTCATACATGCCCTACTTTGTTCCAGTCCTCTGACGCCCACACCATCATACATGCCCTACTTTGTTCCAGTCCTCTGATGCCCACACCGTCATACATGCCCTACTTTGTTCCAGTCCTCTGATGCCCACACCATCATACATGCCCTACTTTGTTCCAGTCCTCTGACGCCCACACCGTCATACATGCCCTACTTTGTTCCAGTCCTCTGACGCCCACACCAT